AAGAAAACTTTCACTGTGCATCTAGGTACTTTAAAATAGGACATACGAGGAACCAAAGACTTACTTTGTTAGCAGGTAAGACAATGAATCTTATCTCAAAATGTCTCTGAAGGCTCTCCTGTGTGTACTGTTACCTGCTGCTGAATGAAAGATCCTTGCACTGCATTTGATTCCATTATGCATTGAACATGACCCCCCACTTTCACTAATGGAAGAGCTGTTTAATTCAGAATTCATACTAGCACAAGTCTAAAAAACTAAGCTCACATGCTCCTGAAAAGTCTGTTTATAAAGGCAGCATCAGAAATAGTGCAAGAAAATCTCAAGAAGCACTGAAAAATAGTTGTCCTTAACGTCATTTTCTGCCTTCAACTCCAAACAGAATGGCACCTACGTCTGAAAAGGAGATCTTGTCCTTTGTTATCTTTAAATCCACTCTTACAAATCTTTTCCAGACAAGCAGTTAGTTTCCATTCAGTTGCAAGATGAATCATTAGCAAAAATCATAATCAAACAATATTTTGAACAGCTGAGTTATAAAACTATTTTCTAGCAACGAGTGACGTCAACATGGACACTGCTACTACGAAGTCATTAGCTAAGTATCATTAAATAAGCACCGACCTCACATTTCATACTAGTAAAGCCTTAAAATAGCACTGCTGCCGTCAGTGAATTCCAGGCAGAAGATTTGCTTAGCAAAACTAAAACTTCACTGATGATGGAACTAGTGCTGAATGTATTTTAAATGCAAATGTTGCCAAAACCAAACTACACATAGTATTGTTTTAGAGACAATAGTTAAACCTTGCTCTCTGTCCTTTTATAATCTGCTATAACATCAGAAGGAGGAAGCTCCCTTCAGTAAAAGATTCAGTGCTACTGTTCTCACTGCTTTTATCACTGACGGAACATCATTTGTGAAATGGTGGGCAATTGTTCTCAAAATGATACTAAGGATACAACCTATGAAGAATCCGTGACCTCAGTGAGAAATTGGTATGAACTACTTTGTAGTACATACCCCGAAGAAGAAATAAGTGAGCACAGTGACAACTGGGGCTGCATCACATTGTCCTATTACCACATAAACCCAACACATTATGACTGTAAAATATGAATTTGTGTTAGAACTTTGAGCTCACAAAACCTTAACTGTTTCTTTGTCTTCAGTATGTCCTATGACACGTTTCTAATTATCTAATGAATTACTGTTTATTTTTTCCAAATGGACCCCCTGCCTTATTTATTTAAAAGATGACACTGAAATAACAAAGGAGTCATTTAATTTGTTCCTAGTCAGTGTAAAATGCCAGTTCTAATTTATTGCACACCCTTCAGTTCCTGTCCTGAAAAAAGGACATTCCGTGTCCTTGCATCTTACCGCACTTTTAACAGGGCTATTTAAGTGCCTCAACAACTTAAGAAAATATAATAATTCAATGAGTTGGTGTTGTCTTGGGAGGAAATGAGATGAGTTGAAAAGAATTACCAACCTCCACAGCTAGAAAACTGAAGCACAGAGATATTACAAGTTTACAGAGTCCCCTAATTTCTAAGTACCTAGTTCAAATCAGGCCTAGGGCCTGATTTTTTTCAGTGGTATTAGAGCATCTGCAATTCTCATTAGCTTCAGATGGAGCTTTAACTGCCCACCAGTTCCACAAATCAGGCCCTTGTTTCAAGCTGAATACCTGAAAAATGAAGCACAAACAATTAGCCGTCACTAAGGGAAACAGAGTGAAGTGACTTATTTAACATCACAGAGAAGTTCTGTGAAGCATTTAGTTTCAGCACACAATTTCCCAAATTACAGTCCTCTACTGTAACAAGACCATCTTCTTTTCACCAGATCTGCACCTCATTTGTGACACACTTTGCTAATTTCCACAGTGAATAAAACAAGTGTCATACAGACAATAGCCTAATTAGCCATCTATTTCTTGCACTGAATACTTTACAATGCTGATTTTGTAGTAGCAGTCCTACTTAAAAAAAAACGACCCAAACACTCAAAACATAAATCAGATGGAGATATCTTTTTTTTTTTTTTTTTTTTTCCTGAAAGCTACTGTAATTCTTATCTTGGAGGTATAAAATGGTAACAAGCTACATGAAGCAGACAAAGGTATTCACTCTCTCTGGTGAAAGAAGCTGAATTGAAACCCTCAGCCTTTCTGCGTCATGACCAACACAGCTTCCAAAAAGGGAAAATATTTTTATGTGTATCATCTTCTCAAGCCACAGAAATTTAGGGGAATATGGCAAACTTCAAAGAGGTATGTAACATGTCAAGAATATAAACAGCGCCACGTTCTTGATCCAAAGCAATGGTTATCTTCTTCCAGGTGATTTACTAGCAACATCCATCCTGTCTTGCAGGAGGAAAAAAAAAACACACCTAAAAAACTATATACTAATAAAAAAGAAAAGCACTGATGAGACCTTCACTCATTGTTTGCATATAAAAAAGTAGTCAGGAGACAAGAAAGGCCAGAAAACATTTACTGAATCTGCTCACCTGACTTAAAGGCTTCACTACAGAATAAAATACAGCCCAGAACACTTCCAGTCAGGATTTCACCCCAAAGTCATGTTCCAAATATGGCACGTGCTGAAGCCTTTAAGTCAGTACAGAGCACTGAAGTCTTTCCTGTTTTTTCCATGGTACAGACGATGTAAGGGAGAACCAGAGGAACGTGAGTCACTGCTAGGTTCAAAGGTATTCTGACACTGTGCGACAGAAAGACTCCAAGACAGGTAACAGCTCTGCATACACCGAAACCTTGTCCCTTTAAAAAAATAATTTCTAAGCACCTTTTGCTAGAATGATGCTAATTATTTGTCAAGTTTTAGCACAGAGCCAGTTAAGACATAGGGGGAGCCACCTACCCCGTTTTCTCTGGGAAAGTTAAAGCAGTGTGCAATTCCTACGTAGCTACTGCACAACCAAAGGGAAACGAAACCGAAAAAAAAAAAAAAACAACCCACAATTAGAGAATGAAGACACTGCCCAGCCTGAAGCAGCAGCTCCTACTGCGAGCTGCTAGCGAGGGACAGAAGAGAAGCCAACCCAGCCTTTCCCGGCCTGGGGCCTGAGGCGTCCTGCTGCTCCCCGGGTTAGCCAAGCCTAGCCCGTACGGCCGCGCTCCTAACGACGGCGAAAGGCCGGGGGGACAGGCGGGCGAGGAGCTGAGCCTGCCCCGAGCGAACCCCTTTGGCGAGGTGGGAGGTAACCCCGCTCCTCCCCACCGCCTGACGCCGGGGGCAGGCGCCGACGGTGGAAATCCCCCTGCCCTCAGCACTTCCCCCGGGCGCTGCCATCATCGCGCTTCGGCCCTTTTTCCCGCCCCTCCCCTCCCCAGCCTCGGCTGCTTTCGGGGCACCGCCGCGTCCCCCTCGCCTCAGCTTGCGGGGCCCCCCGGGGTGAGGGGACACCTCCCCCGCCCGCTCGCCCTCGTCCCGCCGGCGCAGGGCGGCGGGCAAACGGGAGAGGGGCAGGGGGGCGGCGGGCACGGGGAGGGGGCCGGGCTTCACCTCGGGCCGTCTCGGTCGGGTAGAGCTTCTGGGCCTTGCCGAGGAAGCGGAGGGCGCGGTCGCGGTTGCCGGCCTCCAGCGCCTCCCGCGCGATGCCGATGCACTTCTCGGCCTCGTCCCGGTTCCCCTCCATGGGCTTCTCCTTCCGCCGCCTCCGCCCGCCGCAGCGCAGGGAGAAGGGCCCTGAAGCCAGAGCGAAGCCGGGCGGGGCAGAGAGAGGGAGAGGAGCGGGGGAGGGCGAGGAGCGAGCTCCCCTCACTCCGCAAGGCTCATCCCGCCGCGCCGCCGGTACCCGCAGCCTCAGCGCGGCCCCGGCAACCGGCCCGGCCCGCCGCCTGCTTCCGGGCCGCCCCCGCGCATGCGCCGCCGCCCGGGCCCGGGGGCCGCCCCGCCCCGCGGCTCCGGCAGCTGCCCCGGCGGGGCCGGGCCTGGGGCTGGGCCCGGGGCTGGGCCCGGCCGGGGCCCCGCCGCCGCCCGAGGCAACCGGCTGCCGCGGCAAAGCGCGGGGCGGGCGGCTGCCTGCTACCGCTGCACTGCGGCCCGGCCTGCCGCGGCCTCGCTGGAGCCCGCGCAGGAGCCCGGGCGGCGGTGACTCCTTACAGCCCGCGGCCTGTGCTTCAGGGTACTCGTTAGCGGCTCACTGGGATTAGCGGCGTCGGCTCCGTCCTGCCCAGGACTGCGTTGCTGGGAAGAAAGCACTCAGGTGCTGCTAACCGGTCACCCCCTTCCCACTGCAGCAGAGATGGTGACCTGTAAGGTTAGAGAAGCAGGGGTGCTCCCTGCAGAGGCAGCTGCAGTATGTCGCTGGTGGGGGAAGAGTTGCTGCCCCCTCTAAAAACAGAAGTTGCAGGGAGCTGGAGGAGCACAGCTGCTACTGAGGATGCTGCTATCCAGCAGAAGTTAAAGCCTTAACTCCTTAAACTCTAATTGTGCAATCTGAACCCTGAGGGCTGCAGGCTCACAGAGCAAGTGCTTCCCCGTCAGACCCCTACAGCCAGCAGAGGCACAGCCCACCCATGAAAAAGTCACACCAAGAGAAGTACCCACCTGCTACCTTGGCAGCAGAGTTCAGACACTGAGCCAGGGGAAGCTGCTGCAGCACAGCCCCTGCTTTTAGGGGTGTCTCTCCAGAGTCTCTCTTAAGAGAGTGGTCAGGGTACATCAAACAAAATCAGCTGACGTTGTGGATTTTCAACATCCCTTCACAGCCTACCCTCTTCCTCCATCACAGACCCCCGCCTTGCTATGCAGCGGGCTCGGCCAGCAACACCAGAACTGCGCAGGATAAGACCCAGGTGCCATTTCACTGGGTGGTGCCCAGCCAGCGCTGTGAGCCAGGGCTGGGGCCCCGGGCAGCCCAAGCGCAGCCGCTGGGACTGTCAGAGCCGCCTGTTCTTGCAACAACTCAGAGCTGCACAGTTGACACCCAAGTATTTTTCAGTTAGTGGACAAGAGAACATCAGTCTTGATATAACATTTATTGAATATTTCCACTCTAGTGGATGAAAAGTCTGTACAAAAACCAAACATTTCCTTTACTTAAACCAATCTAAAAACCAGTCAGCTCAATCAAAACCCACTACAAATACAATAGCTTCTTTGAAGCCATGGTAACACTTAAATACGGTTAAGACTTCAATGCAGAAATTTGGTTTGTTAGAAAGCTCAAGGGAGCTTCAGCTTCTCAAAGTTACAAAAAGGCAAAATTGTGTTTCACAGATACAGTCCACTGGCATCACCAACACTGGACAATTAAGTACTTGAAGAGTCCTGAGATAACGAGGAATCCTGGTATCCTTTAGACAGTTTTCTGTTGTCCTTTCTTGCCAATGAGAGACTTGTGGATATGCGGTATTACACCTAAGAAAGAACAACAATTAAGACCATGTTATTGATCTTCAGCAATTTTCCTCAGCTTTGCACTTCAAACAACAGCATTAAGCAACCTCTAGTCAGAGTTCTTGCCACAAAAGTCACCACTAGCAAGCAATTCACATACCACCACCAGCAATTGTTGCCTTAATGAGAGAATCCAATTCTTCATCTCCTCTAATTGCCAGTTGCAAGTGACGGGGAGTGATGCGTTTCACCTTCAAATCTTTGGAAGCATTTCCTGCCAGCTCAAGAACCTGAGGACAAAACCATTTTTAAACTGAGTTACACAAGCCAAGAGAGGCCAACTGTGCAGACTTAATCTCTATGCCAAACACACGACTAGTGACACCAAGACAGCAAACGATGTCTCTCTTGAAAAGGCTCCTCCTTTGGAGCACCACAGTCAGTTTTCCCCAAGAGCAGACTAAATGCTTTTACAGCAGATACGACTTGCTGTAATGGCTTGTTATAAAACACTTCACTATTCCATCTTTCCTATCAGTCATAGCGATTTGACCTACAGAAAATGCAGAGCAAAAGGCCCATGCCTATTTCATGGTCTCCTAAAGTGTTAAAACTCCTGCACTTAAAACTGGCTCAGAGCAAGTGAAGCCCAGTCCAAATTGGCAAAATACAGTAGACTGGTCATTTTGAAGTTGACCAACTCGCTTGCATCCCTTGCAGGAGCTTTACCTCAGCTGTCAAGTACTCCAGGATTGCAGCACTATACACAGCAGCTGTGGCTCCTACACGCCCATGGCTGGTAGTCCTTGACTTCAGATGCCTGTGGATGCGGCCAACAGGGAACTGGAAAATAAGAGAAGTATGAATAGCCAGTGACGACAGAGACAGAAAAAGCAAGCCACTACTCTAAACCGCATGCTGGAAACAGAATCCCAGTGGCAGAAGCACAGACTACATCTTAATGCTTGAGAATCCAGCTAAGGACACCCTATGCCAAGTTAACATCATCAACTTCACAATTCTAACCACAAGCAGTAGCAACAGCCACAAGGGAATTCTCTGCCCGCCTGCACAGATATGGAAAAGGTCTAAAATTAGTCAAGCCAGACATTAGCGCACTCAAGGATCAAACACATCCTTATGCTATTCTGGACAACAGACTGACTGTGCAGGTTTTGCAAGGTTCAACCAGCCTTGGGATGGAAAGCCAACCAGACTTTCCTTCGCCCACCCCCCAGTCCCTGCTCACCTGCAGTCCAGCCCGCTGAGAACGGGACACTGCTTTGGTCTTGGTCTTCCCAGAGTCCTTCCCAGCTTTACCGCCAGCCTAGCCAAGAGAAAAAGCAGCGTGCTGGAGCCGCCGCGCCCGCCGTCCCCCCTCAGAGGCGCCGCACCTCCCAGGCTCGGCGGCCGCGCCCCACTGCGCATGCGCTGCACTCCCCTCCTCTCCCCCGCCCCGCGGGCAGGCGCGCGCGGCGCCTGGGCGCGTGCGCGCTGCACGTTACCACTTAGCGGCACAGGCCGCACCGCGAGCGCATGCGCGGCCGCCACTCCCTCTCCTCAGCGGCGCTAGCGCGCGTGCGACCCCCCCCCCCCCCCCCCCATCTTTTTACCGCCTACCGGCAGGTAACGCGCCTCCCGGCGCGCGCCACCCGCGCTCCCGACCCCCCGCGCGCCCTCCCCCCTCACGCCCACAGCCGCATCAGCGCGATCCCTGCCACCCGCCGGCAGCCTGCCCCACCTCAGCGACCCACCCCCCCACACCCCCGCGGCTCCTCACCATCGCGAACCGGACCGCCGCGCAGGGGCAGGCAGAGGAAGAGAGCGTCCCGCACGCACGGAGCCCGGGCAACACCACCGACCTGCCCCGACCCGCCGCGATTCAAACTGCGCCCGCTCCCGCCTTCCCCAGGCGCTTTATAACCGCCGAACGTGCCTGCATCCGGGAACCCCAGCCTCGCCCCTAGCCAATGGCTGCGGGCGGGGGCGGGCCGCTCTCCCCCCGCGACAACCAATGGCGGGGCGGGGCGGGGCCGGCCTCACGATGCAGAGTGCGGGAGAGGCCGCCGCTATTTAAAGGGACAGGCGCCAAGGTGGCGGGGGGTTGGGATTCTGAGGGTTTGGGGGGGGCCGAGTCTCGGGCGGCGGCGGAGGCTCTGTCCCAGTGTTGCCGGCGAAAGCCAGGGCTCCACCCGCACCGAACCGCCGCCCAGGCCCGCTTCTTGCCCTCCGCCGTTATTTCAGGGGGACGGAGGCGTAGTCCCCGTACGGCCGGGCCTGGGGACCCGCTCCCGCGGCGGCGGTGCTGGCCGAGGCGGCGTGGGGACGGTCCCTTCCCGCGGAGTGAGCGGGCCGCCCGCGATCAGGGCGGGCTTTCGGGGGCGCCGGCTGCTGCCGGTCGGGGGTGTCGCTCCACGAGTCCCTGAGAGCTGCCGTCGCTCTCTGAGACCTAAAGTCTGGCGGAAATAAATAAAAAGAAACAGAAGCGTACCCGGAGCGGGCTGGCAGCCGAACCGGCAGCCGCCCGGTCGTCGCCTCAGGCCGCGGGCGGCCCTGCCCGCAGGCCGCGGCGGGGGCCCTCCCGTCAGCCGCCCGCCCCTGCGCGCCCGCGGCCGCCCGGCCCGCGCTCGCCTCCCCGGAGCCGCGGCGTGGAGGCCGGGTCCTGCCGGCTTCCCCCCCGGCCGGAGCCTTCTGCAGGGCGAAAGTCGCGGCTGTCACCCCAGGGAAACACAGCGGGCCTGGGCGGGATCACCGGCGGTAGAGGGGGTTGCCTGGAGTCACAGAGCGCCCCAACTCATTGATCGGGGGGTTATTAATTGCCACGTCCCATTCCTGTACTGATCCCAGCTCTGCCTCGCCTTTTCCTCAAGTTGCTTTAGATGCGCTGTGCTGCCGGTTTAAGCTTTCCCCAATAAAGTTGATTGACTTAGGGTGCAAAGCGCCTCAGGAACGAACTGCAGGAGATCGCGTCCCAGGTTTGGGATGAGGAGCTGTTACACCGCGTTAGCGAAGACGCGAGGCCGCCCGGTGCGGTTTGAAGGAGGATGAAGTCACATTTACTCTTCGTGATGCTGGGGGCAGGGAAGTGCCAGCACGGCCAACAACTCCACACACATGCACTGGTTTTTATTTTTACTTCCATCTTATGCAAGAGATGTGCGATTACCAAGGGCAACCCTGCCTCAGACCCATTTGTATCACTGGATATTTCACAAACTATGGTTAAAAACTGTTCATAATGAATTTGGTTCCAACTGTATCCAACTGTAACACTCAATTAATGCAGTGCAAATCTCCTCAGCTTGGGCATTTGAAATCTTTGTCTGTATTTCCCTGAAATTAAACCTTAGTCTGTCACAACCCCCTTTTTTTTTTTTTTTTCTTTTTCCCAGGTGCCATTTTCTGTACAGCATCATTATTTCTTTTTCAGAAAAAAGCATCCTAGCCATTTAACTTCAGTGCTCAGCTGGGGTTGTTTTCAGCTAATCCACCTCCTTCAACTCCAAAAAAGTAACAATTCATTGTGCTTTTCCAGAACATCATAAATCTGTGTTATCTGAGAGATACCCCATTCATTTGCAAGTATGCAGTGAACTCAGGGAGAAACCCTGGCCTTTCAATGACTGAATAGCTCTTTAGAGGGAAGACTAGCTCAATCTGTCATGCACTTTACCAATATAATCACAAAACTACCACTTTAGTAGCCATTAATGTATATATTTCCTCTACCTTGATAATGATGGGTCCCAAGCATGATGAGTACTCTCACAGACTAAAATGGGAGATAGAGCTGAGGGTGTTAAGTTGTCATGAGGTTACTCTCCTCACCATAACTTTTCTACTTTCTTCAGATCTACAACAAGCGAAATACTCAAAACTCTAAGATAGGAGGGTACGTGCTGATCCATAGAGCTCAAGGTCTTTCCAGCTGTTCACTGTAATAGTAGAGATTTAAGACTTTGTGCTCTCCTGCTGCTATGGCTCACTCCAAATACTTGGTCCCCTGGTCACAAAGGACCCTTTGCTTGAACCTCCAGACAGCCTTAGGCCACCTTGTCAATGCCTTCAACACCCAGTTTCAGTTCAGACATTTTGTGCTAGCTGCTGCTGCTTCAGGGTGGGGAGACCTACTTCCAGGCACACGCACAGAGAGGCAGGACTGACTTGAGAGCAGACACTCCTACACGCAGGAATCTGGCGGTTTGTTTTTATGTAACTGTCTGGTGCCTCTGTCTATTTGAAGCATTAGTTGTTTATGCTCTCCTTCAGCAAGCAAGAAGATAAGAGGGGTTGCTGGTTTTTTTTGTTTGTTTGTTTTGTTTTGTTAATTTAAAAACAAACCTCAAGATTTTACAGAAGCCTGCAGAAGTTAAAATTTCATTCAATTTGCTATTTTAAAAATTATTTGTGTCCAAAGTGCCTACAGCAAGGATCCATTTGCCCTTTTCCTTACAGGGAAGAGAAGCCAAGTTGCAGGCCGTAAGACCCTCTGGGAACAGCATTCGAGATGTAGGAGGAAAAAAATCGTATTTTCTCCCTGGTTTCTGTCCTGGTTTTCTGTCTGTGCTAGGAAGTGGAACAAAAAGGCCTCCTACCAGATGGAGATAATCCCTGCCACAGACGTTTCCCGCTTCCCACGTGAGCTTCCCCGATGGCTTGCTTTGGCTGCACGCTTTCAGCCGCTCAGGGCTTTTTACAGCTGGGATTACACAGGCAAGGCAGCATAACACGGAAGGTTAAGCTTACACAAGGATGTATATTTACCAAACATATCTGGTTTGGGACATGCTAGCGAGAGTACATGAAAATAGCCTCAGATCACCCTATGTTAGCTAGCAAGCCTCTCTAGCAAGCACAACCCGACACACATACCTCCTCACACACACCCTCTCCCCCCCAAATATTTAAAGAGAGAAATTAAAACTAGCTTAGGTACGCCAGGAACAACCCTAAAGTAACTTCAAGCCCAGTTGTGAGCACATACACCTCAACCGCAATGCCACATACACAAAGGGAATACTTATTACATCCATTTCCTAACGAAACCAGTACCCCAAGCCTACCTCACAAGTGTCTTACCAGGTTTTATAATGTAACGACCTCACAAGGGAGGAAGATATGATTCAAGGGGGACAGAGCAGAGTAATTGGCTTTTATTGGTCCGATTGCATTAACAGGTCCCTTTAAAAACGTTAAAAATTCCTTTGAAAGGAAAGGGAACCTGCTGAGGAAAGATGCAGTCATGCAGTGGGTCTAGAAAGGGAATTGATTATAGTTGGCCTTGTGTAATGTTATTCATTGCCCTGTGGTCTCAGTGGTGAGGTGTGCTGGGGTACCTTTTTAATATCTCTGAAGGCCACAGCGGTGAAGGGCTTTGCATCATTTTCCTAGCCCTCGTGCCACTGCTTTATTAGTACTGAGTTTTACCGATGCTATGCTTCTCATTACAAGATGTGTTGGTACTAAACCGTTGTTTTGTGTTAGGTATCCTGTGACTGACCTCCTTTCGCTGCAGTACGTTACGGGCAGTCCAACAGACAGGCTGCTGATACGGTGTCCTGGGCTGCCGGCGCCCTGCGGTGTGAGCTACCATGTAAAGATTAGCTCTCCTTCGAAGATACAGGGTTGTAGCTGAGGGACGTACAATCTCCTCGTTATGTTCTCAGAGCACGTTTTGCGACATGTCTTAGAGAACTGGGGTGTAGCGCCGCTTTCCTTTCTACTCTGTCTACTACTTAATATGATTTCCTTGGAGACTAACGCTCATTTTCACTCGCCTCCAAAATACGGACACATTCTCTAAAGCAGGAACCACTTCGCACCCCTCCCTAACTACTAGCCTATGAACATGGTATTTGGACTGTCTCTTGAATTCGTTTCTTACAGGGTTTCAGTTTTTGCAGAAGTGGTGAAGATAAAATCTCCGTTAGTAGACTAACAGATGAAGTGCTCCCAGAAAGATTTTTGTATCACATCCCCCAGGGAACTTTGCAGTTTCTGGGTCCTGCATGAGTTTATGTGGAAGATACACGCCTAGGTGCTCAGCCCTGCTGTGGTATTCCTGGGATACAAATCTGAATATCTGGGGAACTTCAAAGCCACAGAGGAGAAGGCATTTGAAGAATTATTTTTTTTAGGTGATAGCTAAGCAGAGACAGCTTAGATTTTAGGATACAGTTTTTAGTCAGAGGTTTTAGTATGCCTAACTTTGACCTAACTCCCTCCTAGGTGAATAATTTAGGTTTGTTTTGTTGTTTTGTTGTTTGTTTGTTTGGGGTTTTTTTGTGTTTTTTTTGTTGTTGTTGTTGTTTTGTTAAGTCTGTAACCACTGCTTACATTCATTTAGACTCTATTTTTGTGGTAAGAACAATTACAGAATGGCTTATATTTGCCCCTGGGGTCCTCCCCCCTTGCAGAGGGCTTCCCTGCTGCCCTTTTTCAGGACCTCTATCAAATAACAGGGTTCTGCTCAGTTGGGTCTCTGCCAGCTGCTGTATTTGGGTTCAGGAAAATCGCATCCTCTCCGGTTGCACTGCTGTGTTGTGTGTAGTGATGAATGGATGCAACTGTTCAGTTTAACAGATACATTTATTAATCTGGTATCTGAAAACAGCTTCACACATCTCCGTAATAGATCTGTGGATACCACTTGCATACTGATTTCAGAGAGGCTCGAACTACCCTTATATCTGCGCTGGTGTTCATTGTACGCTCTTGTATCATCTATTAATAGTGTCATAATGACTAGTCTGAATAGATTTTTATCTTGTTCTTGTTTAGCCAGCTGTGAAAGGAAGCTATAGCTAGTTAGGCAAAAAGAAACGAGTGTCTGTCAGAGATGGTGCCAGCCAGAAGTCCTTACCCTTATCCTTCTCATCATCTTACACAGAAACTTACCTTCCCCCACTCTCTTGTTGCTGAGTGCCTCAGTCTTCCCTGTTACGCGTATTTGAGCTCCGTTCAGTAGAGTAACTGCAGTAATATTTACATGATATTTTGTGTGGTGTATATGCAAGTACCTACTCCAACTGTGTTCAAGTTGGGGAACTCTCAGGGTGTATTTAATTTGCCCTGTGATACCTATGGCCAGAGGACATTGTAATTAAATAGGTTTGTACCGGTTGTAGCATTTTGGTTATACCAGTTTATTTTCCTAAGAAAGCAACCTGGAAAAACCTTTCTGGGCTAATTGCTTCTTGTTGTTTATTCCACCATCACTCATAGACTAAGCCTGGATTGTAAACAGTCTATGTCTGAGGTAGTGAATTCACTGTGTTTGATTTGGGCGGTCAATGTGCTATGCGCATGTCTTATTTTGGTTAATTCTTTCAATAATATATATTTCAATAATTGTGTGTTTTTTCAGTCAGTCTGATGACTAAAAGGTTTAAGTTGATTTGGAACAAAAAGTAGCAAATATTAAAAACCAAATGAGAAAGGATGGACACAGTGTTTCACATCTGGTTTTCAGTGCAATCCTTTGAAAGGAAAATAAAATCCTTTCTTTTATCCGTAGGACTTGAGTCAAGTCACCAGCTCTCCCAAACAGCAACTTTGTCCTATTAACTCTTTACACTTGCAGTCACCTATTCTTCTTCCAGTACTTGACGACCACCTTTTGATTGGAGTATCTGAGTACTTCTAGCCTTGACCATGCCAAGTGCCGCAAGGTGGGAAAGAGAAACTGTGTGCTTGGAGAAATCCATTATGTAAAAAAGAAATGAGAAGAAAACTGTGTTTTCCTGAATGTGGCTGGTTCCAGGTTTTCAATCAAAATGCTCCTTTGCAGGAGCTGGAAATGGTTCTTCACAACTCATTCTGTGAAGATGAAAGGGCAAATAGAAATGCCATCTGCCCCTTGGAAGAGCAGAGAGAAAGTTCACTGGGGGGGGCTTGCCCTTTCCTTGCCAAAGTTGTTGCAGGTAGAAGGGAGCCCATTCGTCTTTGTTGGTAGGAGGCAGCTATTACAGCCATCGTTTGTTTCTGGACTGACAACCTGGTTTACTTCTTCCTTGTGGTGTAAGATGATTTCTGTTGAGAAGTAACTCAAGCTTACAACTGGAATTAGACCCTGTACTGCACCTGGCTTGTAACACAGATGGCATAGTCCTCACTGAATAATGCATAATTAATAATAACATGTTCTCAATTTTAGTAATTTGCAACAAAGACCTGCAAGCCCCAGGGTCTGTTTTATACTGAGAAAAGTACTGATTTCATGGAGCTGGCAAGATGTCAGTACGAATATAACTATTACCAATATGTCTTTACAAACAACAAGAATAACTCAGGAGATCACTTCTGCCAAAATTTGGGATTGCAGCTATAGAGTCGTTCATTCCCAAGAAGAATGACTCTCTGAGAGGTTGGGCTTTTTTTCCTTTCTCTTTGAATTCTAATAACTGTAACTAAAAAAAAAAAAAAAAAAAAGAAATGTAACTAGACATTGGGCTACTCACCTTCTTTCATCTCTTCCTTGCTCTTTGCAGTGAAGGTCCTTCTGCTTTCTGCTCTGGGCTCATTTTAGAAATTTCTGAGTTACTTTAGTTTCCTTAATGCAGAGGTTTGCATTTGGAATCAACTGATCCCACAGTATGACTATTAATGTCTGATTAAATTTGATACACTGTGAAAATGGTTCACACTGACCGGGAGCATAAAGATGGATCTCTTCAACCATAACGGGGCTGTAACTGAGAAAATGAATTTAGCCCAATGGTGGCAGCATAACATAAGAAATAAAAATGAAAGTATGAAGGGCTTCCTCTTCAGTAAGGTTTTTAGGCTGAGTCATCACCTAAGAGGTATCCTTGTTCTTTGGGGTGGGGCTATCTTTAAAACCAAAGCACAGCACTTATCTCAAAGAAAAACATTGTATTTTTTACTGTCAGGCAACCAGGCAAGGTCAGCACTTTGCATGAGATGGACCTTGTCTGACAGCCATCTGGTTAAGATTCTCTGCTAGGACTTCAGGGTGTGAAAGGTAACATGCATTAGGGATCTTGTGTTAAAAAAGAGATGTTTTCTTAGACATGAAGACAAAACAGAATTTAGTGTCTGAAAGTCACTAGGTGGAGTTACTGCAGATGAGCATAGGCATAATTATACAGCTATAAAATGACTGTCTGTAACAAGTAAGCTGTTTTCTAGCTTAAAAAAAAAAATCATCTCTTCCTGTCGAATTCTGTGGGAGTTTTGTATGTTCTGATAATTTCCTGATTATACATCATTGCACCTTTTCTAATTTTCTCACCTGGGGCTGGGCCTGCATGTTCTTGCATTTGTCCAGAATCCAACATATCAGTTGGATGTGCCCATGGAGGCCATGCAATTGAAATAACAAGAACATTTGCAGCAGTAGGTAGTGTTATCATTGCTTGTGAAGTACTTTCCTTCTCGTGCAAAAAGAAATAAAAAAAATCTTCATCAAGTTTGTCAAATACAACGATTTACTGGTGGGGGGATTGCAACACCTGGGAGCAGTCTGAAGGGAGAGAAATATTCAGCACAGAGTGCGTTAAATATCAGTGGTTTGAAAGGGTTTCGGCAGGAGCATCTTTTTTTCTATGGCTCTGTGAGGGGATGTGTATCCATCCCTCCTATCTTAGTGAAGCAGCTGGGCTACTGCTACCATAAATCAGGAGCAAAACTAAAGGACGGTGATGGGGAAGAGTTATGGCAGGGCGGGGCCAGTGCGTGGCGAGATGGGGAGCAGACCGGGTTAAAATGAGGTGCTGCAACCTCCTGCAGGAGGGAGCGATGGGGGACACGAAGCGTGCAGCGTGGCGGCGGCGGGAGGGAAGGGGCAGTGCTGGTACCTGCCGGGCAAATCCTTCTCCAGGGGGTGGGAACCCCCACCCGCCCGGCTCGGCGTGGAGCCGGTGGGAGGTAAGCGTGGGGATGGGCTCAGGGTGGGAGCGCTGGCACCGGGGCGTTATGTGATGCCCTGGACCCTGCAGCCAGCTGGGCACGCCAGGAAGCGATGCCCACCCCTGGAAGCTACTGGTGCCAGGGTGGGTCGAAGCCACAGGGAGCCATTTGCACGCAACAGCCTCTCAAATGCGAGTCTTGCGATGCTTTTCTCAGCGCCGTGGCCTCGCCCAGACCCGACTGCAATGTCACCGAAGTCTCTGCAGAGTCCCTGGGGCTTTCTGCTCACCGGCATGGGGAAGGCAAAGCAGGAGTCACTGATAGTTGTTGCAATGCAGAGCTTGGGGAGCGGGGCTTTTGCTAGTGCACAGTAATGTGGCATCTTCCAGCGCAGTCATTATGGGTGAGATTTTTTAGGCGTTCCTCTCGATCACCTTTCTGATCCTGATCACCTGGCTTTTGCACAGGGGTGACAGTGGAGACGAGACACAGAAGCTGCCGTAGGAACTGGGTTGCTTAAATGGGCGTGCGCAGCCTGGTTTGGCTCCCTCACTGCCCGGTTCACCAGCGTAGCCCCACCGATACCACTCGGCTTCCCCTTCCTTTAGAGCAGCCCCAATGATGCAAGGTCTGAAACATGCAAAGTAGTTTCCAAATGAGTCACCACGGAAGAAGAGGGTGGGATGAGCAACCAAGAGCTCCCCCCAAGACTACGAAGGCGGTTTCAGGCCAGTAGCCTGCTTCCCACCCCTACGTGGGTCAGTGCAACAAGCTCCCCACGTTCCTGCATTTGAGGTAGACTAACGCTCATTGCCTGGCTGGGGTCTCTGAGGAGCTTTCAGCTTTGGCCACCGCTGGTACGTTGCTCCTTCAGTCCCCAGCGCCGGCCGGGAGGCTGAGGTGCTGCAGACAACCGGGCAGGAGGAAACCCAGGGGACTTGTGCCTCCTTCCTTCTTCCCTCCTGTGGGGAGACCTCACTTCAGGGTGCCCCCTACTCTGTCAGCAGCTGCTTCTCAAGAAACATCATTACCTTTCCACTGTCTTGGAGACATTAAAACAGCACAGCATTTACCTGAACACAGATGTAGCCACAGCCACGGCAGAGGGCAAAGGAGTAATTTTGTGAACTAATGATGAAAACGTGTGCTAATGTCTCTGCTTGCTGTGGGACTAGCTGTGTGCTTTTAGATGCCTGTTCAGATGTTGGTGGGCAGCCAAATGAGGACTGTTCGTGGTGCAAACTGCCAGACCTGGGATCAATGCACTCCGGCACATTGTGCACCTGCCCTTTGCCGTGAATAGGTCTTGATCTTCCTCACCCTTTGGGAAGGCTTAGGAGAAGAAAATAGAGAAGACCCCCCCAAAAATCATCCCTGTCTGAACAATGACATTGCATGGGCTGAATGGAGTGTCTCAAACAGAACAGCAAAATTTCCTACATCCCTAAGGTCATCATCCAGAAAATCAAATGTCAGGGCATTTGCATGTCATTATTGCTTACCTGTTTTATCTACTTAGCCTAATTAGCTAACTAATCTTATTTAATCCTCAGTATTCACTAATCCCAATTAGAGATGGGCCTGAACCAGGACCTGGGTCCCAATTAGGAGATAACAAGCTCTTGGTGACCTGCTGCCTCCAGTGGTAGCTGCAGCTGATCATGGGGTGTGGGAGTGCAGGAGCCCCCACGAAACAGTAAGGAAATTCCAGACCCACACCACCTCTGCCCTCAATCTCTATGAACAGCTGAGAAGCATATCAGGACCTAAATGCACCGTTTGTTTTGCAGTGGTCTGCATATACCTCATGTGCCATAGCCCCCCAAACAGTGAGGGGGCGCTGGCTTTTGCACCATTCTGTACCAGTTGCATCAAACCATCTGTAGTAGCCAGAGAAGCCCTCGGCTGTTAAAGCTCTGGCGTCTTGTCATCCTTTCTAGTTGTTTCTTGTCCCCTTGGCTGATTCTGAGCAGGGCATGGTGACAAACCCACATACACACTGTCACCACTATTCACAAATACCGGTATCAATGAATTATGCCCAGATGAAAAAGTGGGCTTGTTCTGCAGCAGCCGTGGTCACCCGGACAGGCCTCAGGACTTGTTTCTGAGTTGGCCACTGAAATGGGACTCCTCTGCTCTGCTCCTGCGTCTGCAAGGGAGGGACAGGAGCATGCAGGGAGCCATGAACATCAGACCCAAGAATTCTGCATTGCTCGCACCAAAGCTGCAGACCTGAAGGACAAGATGGTAGCCGTCTCCTCTGGATCACACACCATCAGTGCGTTTTCTCTCAGCACAGAGTGGCACTGGGAAACCTGACCAGCACTTGTTTTCAAAGACCCACATCTTCTATGTGGGACTGCACCTGGCCTCCATCTCCCTGTGTAGTAGAGAAGGGTTTTTACCTTCTTCAGGGCCGGCACCATTGGTGAAATGCGCTGCTTTCCCCCCATGGGGAGGCAAAGGACTCCCAGTAAATTGTGTGGTCAAGAGGCTACATGTGGGAGCCTTTTCCTAACCCTGTTCTTCTTCCCCCAGCCAAGGATCTCTGACTCCACCAAGATGCGGTTGCTCAAATTGCCAGCTCCTCTCACTGGAAGCTAATAGCTAGCTCTCTGAACAAAGAAAATCCAGTCTGGCAGCAAAAAGCAAACAGCCCAGTTCTGGTCTCTCATCTTTTTTTCCCTGCTGCTGCAGTACACCAGGCTTTTCACTGATTTATACCTTGGATACAAGAGGAGTTTCACCCAAGGTTATTCTCCTGTCAGGTGTGGATGTTGGCAACATGTCCTCACTGTAACACGGGATGAAAGGGTTTATGAACCGGGGATTTCACAAAGGGAGTGTTCATGTCTGTACGCTGATGCTGTGGCCGGTGGCAGGCAGCGGTGGGCCAAGGACCCGGCTGCCCGGGGAATGAGGCTCCTTCTGGCAAGCATCCTTGATGAATTGCTCATAAAAGCCTGATGCCACCTTATGATTTTTTTTTCTTTTCTTTTCTTCAAGAGAACCACTAGAAAATGAAATGATTGTAGTTTCATTTCCTGTAGCAGAGCTTAAAGGGGATATTAACTCAGGAGCTGATCCACTGCTCACTGAAGTAGGCAGTGCCTTTTCTGCCAGCTTCAGTGGGTGCTGCAATTGCCTATCAAAGGCGACTTTGATTTTCTGTGCTTGTGTGAGCCTTTCCTCCCGTTTCTCTGTGGGGAATAGCTTTGGGAGGCTTCATAGTTCAGATGAAATATTTGCTGTAGCTGCTCCTCAGATTCTTTTCCTCCTTGCATCATGACTGCTCCTCTCTTTTACAGTTGGCAGCTGTAATCACTGCCAGCCTCCTCCTGCTCTACATCCTACTGTACTACGAGGACTTCCATTTCCATGTGGCTCATGTGTACGCTCGCTTGGGGTACCCCAACGCCCAGCACATCCTGGGACAGAGGTATTTGCAAGGTAACATTTCTCCAAGCCACGGCTAACTTGCTGCCAGGGTACGTGTGGGTATAAGGCAGAAGCACAATTGTGGCTCCATGTTATGTGGTACATCACCACACTGCTGTATTTTATATCTTAACTATGACTTTGCTACCTTGTCTCATACCCAGGAGCTGGAGTGGAAAAAGATGAGGACATGGCCATGCACTGGTTCAGGTGAGGTGCAAAAAAACCAACCCAACTCCTGCCATGGGAAATTGCCCTCTCCTGGAGTAAAGGCTACCGTGGTGTGGGAAGAGGGAAAACAACCTGCAGTGCTCTGGGGGTAGAGCTGTGCTGAGCTGTCCTGCGCTGGCGGGAGGGAGGTGCATGGGGTGTCAGCGGGGAGATCAGGAGCTCCTGACTTCTCACTGTGGGTCGGATGCTTCGCTCTGCTTTCCCCATCTGCTAATGCTATTTTTTAAATCAGTGGGAGGCAAGTAAGTATCTTGGCAGTGAGAGTGCAGAGGGATGCTGGTGCTGCTGCACAGCCTTTTGGGGAGGTTCGAGCCACAGGTGGGCAGTGGGAAAAATGCACAGGCACAGGAGGGGAGAGAGCCAGGAGCTGCTGGGGCAGCGGACAGTCAAGTTACAGCAGAGTATTATTTTCCTGCTTTCAGCATACGCTCTCAAGAGGTTTCTGCCACGTAAGCGGGGTAGCCGTGCCCGGAGAGCACATTTGCTGTGGTACCTGCAGTGGTTACACACGTGGTGGGAGCCTGGGCTGCGTCCCCCAAAACCTTCTCACTCCTGCTGAGAAACAGGAAGGATGTGGGACGGGGAGAGTTACTGCGTTACCCAAAAAGTGAGGGAAGAGGGGGAGCTTATTGCATATTTTCTCTGTGTCTGCTAAAGGTGTAGAACAGCCTCAAGCTGCAGGATTTTTAGGGCTGACATAACTGTGCCTGTGACAGCAGAGGTTGTGGACCAAGAAGGCATCTTTAAGGACATCCATACTCAGGGAAACGCTGAAGCCTTGGTACCTTTCTGACTAAGGCTGTTTCCCAAATCAAGGCCTGAAAATTTTAAAGGGGTCACATTTAAGGACACTGATTTATAGATCCCTTTTCCTTCTTGGCTCTCACCTTGCTTTAAAACATTCAAACTCAAGTTTCCTTCTTCTGTACTTTCTCTTACCGCTTCCTTTGCATCTTTCTTTCCCCTTCAGGCAGGCTGCAGGACAGGGCCATCCCCACGCCTCCTTCAACCTGGCAGTGGGGGCACTCAGAAACATGACCGTGGCACTTGAAGAAGGGTAACCTGAGCTATTTCTCTTCTTTTCCATTACAGCTGCGTTCCCAGCTCCTCCTGGGGAGAGGGGGAACCCAGCGCTGTAGATACTCCATACATGAAGCTACTCCAATATTTCTAATGCTCTCTCCTTGTATTGTCAGTAATGCAGCCCAACCTGTGGCAAGAAAACTGAAACAACCCAGTTAGCCTAGTGAGCTTTTAAAAATTAGGTAGCACAGTACCTACAATGCCTGTGGTCTGATTACATGTGTATTTCCATTGGTGATTTCCCAGTCAAGGCAAAGGACAAGGCCCATACTGGTATAGAAAGAGCCATTGAAGTGACGTGAATTTTATGCTACAAAGACCTGTCTTTCTTTTTGGGGGAGGCTACTTTTTGCTCTCCTTCCCATTTAGTGAGATCAATGAGAAGTTCCCTGCCAACTGCCCAGAGGTTCAGTTGAAACCGTCCAGGACACATTTCTCTCCCTAATGTGCCGGCACACACTGCACACCAGCGCTCCCAGCAAGGCTCACAGCCAGAGAAAACTTGTCTTGTGCTTTGTACATTAGCTGTGGTGACTCGTCCTAGAGCTAAATGAAGCTAAAACAAGAAATGAGTTCTCATCCAAGTGAAACCCAGTCCTCTTTTTTTTTTTTTTTTTTTTTTAAATTTCGTATTGTTTTGGTTTGAGTTTTTTACATTTACTCCAAGTCTGAAAATTAAAACTGAGGTTGGAGACAGCAGTCTTAAGCTAACTGAAACTAAAAAAGCAATGTTTGGGCAAACCCTGTGAGTCAAAGCCAGCGCATTTCGTTTTAATCTCTGCTGCATGTTGTATGATCAGGCAGACTCACATATTTAGTGGTAAAATGTGTGTATGTTTCAAGAGCCCCAAATCCATCTCTGCTTCAATTCAACTAAGTTGAGAAGATCACCAAACCCAAAACATACGTGTTCAGACCATGGGAAAAAGCAGAAAGAAAACCAGATAATTTTCTGACTTGTGGAGAGTTAACTTACAGATGCTATCAGATCCAGTAGCTGTGATTGTCTTATAAAAGCCTGGGTAAATAAGATTTACCTAGGAATAAATCAAACCCCCTCTAGATTTTCTTGATGACGGTTTCATGTCCTTCAGGGAAGTGGAGAAACTCCTCAGTGTGGCAGCAGCCCACGGGCTCCAAGAAGCTCAGCAACTTTTGGAAAACATCCTCAAGAGCAGAAATGTTCCCTGAACGACCACTGCAACACCGATGCTTGTCCAACCTTGCCTTCTTCTGCACTTAGCAGCCCTGCTTTCTCCTTGCCACGGGTCTGGTCTTTAGGCATTTGACTCATTCATTGGACATTACATTTGCTTTGCACTGGATCTCTACCATCAGATCTATGGCAGTGATGTGTTGCTGCTCCTTCTCCTTTTGCTTCCCGGCTCACCACTTCTGAAAAGCACCGGAAAGGTGGGGTGGAGGAGACAAATAGCCTTTGGGGTTACACTGACGATGGGCATATGAACATTATTGAAAAAGCACTGCTAGTGTTGCACCAACTGATCTGATACTAGTAAGTTAGATCCAAATACTGATCTGAGCTTGATGTGGTGTTGCTTGTGCGTTTGTCCTGTGTGTATTTCATGCTCTGCTTAGGCACTGCGATAAATGATCATGACTGAGGCTTTATCACTGTAAATCAGCATGACATGCACGCATGATATCAGTTGTAATAGAAGTGACAGTGATTTAACAGAAAATATAAATAATACCCTCACTTAACATCTATCGTTCTTTATCAATGTTACCATTGCCATGCCAGTTTTGGGGAAAAGTAATTCAGTTTAATGGAAACTGCCTTCATTTTCAGTGTGGTCTTGGTTTAAAACCACAGCAGGAGCAATTGCATTTCACAGGAAGTGCACTCACCAAACAAAGATCCACAGCATTTTGCTAGCAATAAAGTTGTTTCCCAGGGCTGCCTTTGCTGGTGTGCAAACTTTCTTTTCTTCCTGCCATGATTACCCAGCTCACTTGTTGCATTACATGAGGGCCTGTGCTCCCCCCCCAGATGCCTGAGGCCATGCTGTTGAGCCCGAGACCCGGGGATGCTGCCAAGACAGCAAGCCCACGGTGGAGGCCAGGCTTGGGTTTCCAAGAAGTGCTTTTGCACCGTGGCTTGTAGGCAAAGGTGTGAAGGATTTTTCCCAGGCTCCCATTTCCCCATCCCCTCTCAGGTGTGAGCCTCAGTATCTTTCTAGTGCAATGCCAGCGGCACCTGGGGGGGCATCCCGCGGGCACAGCATACCGGCTCCCCACGCAGCGGGGGCGAGCGGCCGCACTTTAAGCGAGGGACGGCCGGGCTTTGCCTCTGCTCCGCCTGGCTGTCCCCGGGCTGGGCTCCTCAGGACCAGCTCTGCGTCTTGCTCCCGAGAGGAGAGGACAGACCTGGGGCCCGGCCGTCCCTCTGCCTCCCCCAGCTCGTCCCGGGCAGCACCTGCGGCAGACCAGCGCTCTCCGGTTGCAGTGCAGCCGCCTGCTCCCCCCGCCCGCTCTTCTCCTTTCTCTTCCCCTTCTGTGCTCCCTCCCACGCATCCCTTTATTAAATCTGGTACCACAAAACTCACAGCAGAGCAGAGCACCAGGCGAGTTTCTCTCTTCCCTCCCCCTCAAGCGGAAAAGCAAGACAGTGTTTGCCAACTCAAAAAGGAGCCTATTTCCATGGCTTCTGCAGTGGCTGCAGACTGGGGCCCTGCGCCAGGACCCTTCAAAGGCAGGGGAATATTTCCCTTGACATGAGGCTATCACTGCATCATGTCTCATACCTGCTTTTTTTTTTCTTATACAGTAAACACGCATGAGCTATAGCTCCTGATTTGGAAATTGAGAGATGCACCAGTTAAGTGGACCGAGTATTTTCAGGCCTGTGGTACCCTTCTTTTTGTGTCTGCGAGCAGGAAAACCTTGTATTTGCCCCTGCAGAGCAGCATCCACCAGGAAAATGGCGTGAGGACCTGTGTCAAAAGCCCCGCTGAAATCCAGACCCGTGGTGTCTGCTGCCTCTCCTCTACCCCCAACGTCATCCTCCTTGTTTTCTCCAACCTCCCTAACCGCAGCAGCCACTGTCAGAGGGGCACTCAAGTGCGGCTGGGGAGAGCCGTGCCCTGCTGTACACCTGCACCAACCAGTGATGCCTGAATTCACACCCCTTTCCTATTGCCACAGGGCCTGGGGTGATGCTGCCCAAGTTCAGCATACGGCACTACCTCGGTGAGCACCTGGCGTGCTCACCTGGGAATCTGGGTAGCAAATATGCCAAGGGCCCGGTGGCAGGGTCATTGCACTTCACAGGACTTAAGAAATACAATTTTTCTGTCTGCTAGTCAAAGTGAGCAGGCAGGTTTTTGTTTGTTGATCAATTTTCCCAGCTGAACTGTGTTACTGCCCAGCACCAAAATGGACATTAACACTGACTGTGAGACTTGCAGCTACCAGGCAACAAGTCAGCCCCAAGGTTCACGCTACCTTCACTGAGGTGGCAAGGTGTAACATCAGCACGTCATTCATTTGCCAGTTCTTTTGTTCGCTTTCTCAGAAAGCTGGTTTGGAATATGACATTTTGCCGTTATCTCAGCTGTAGTTTCCTTATTGGTACACATGGTCTTGCACAATGGGCAAGTGACTTATCATCCAGTGCTTTCCAGGTGGCCTCCTTTTTAATAAGGAGTAGTAAGAGATGGACAATAAATTACAGGCAGCCTTACATACATTTCAACAGAAAAAACCCCCCGTTGATCTAATAAAGCCAATTATCAAACAGCAGCAGGAGGAGGCTACTGCAACTCAACGTGGTGCCGAGATTTCGCCAGGAAAAGATATTCAGTTCCGTGCAATTTGCAGAATTAGTGCCTGCATTTTCACCCTCACACCACTTCCCCCGAGACATGAGTGTCTCCTACCCTAATTGCTGTCTGTATGGTTTCCCCCTGGATTTTCTTTCAGTCCAATCCCACGAAACACGGCTTTGCGGTCGATGGCTGAGGGTGTGCACATCCACATTCCTCCTACCTTTTTCCCTTTTTCTCCACCGACCTGCCTTACTGGGGCTGGGCTGCCTCCCAGTGGGTGCAGGCACCCTGTGTCGTTCCCCTCCCCACACCCCCAGGACACGGCCCCTGGTCGTGGGGTGCTTGTCCCACGCGGCACCGGCTGGACCTCCCCGGCAGCTGCCAGCCCTCTCCTCCTTGGCACTGCCTGTACGCAGGCAATTAGAAGGATTTTCTTTCCCCAAACACGGCTCTAATTATAATCTAATTCAGCTTATTTGAAGTACATTTTGGTAGCATTTCCATTATGCAAATATCAATTTATTATCCTCACATTATGTTTTGACTACAGTTGTGTTGCTAATTAGAGGCAATTTAACTGCTTTAAAAAACCCCATCCTTTCCTCTCCATGCACCCTTACTTCCTTGCAAACCACACAGAACAGACATTTAGCATGGAGTCAGTGTTGAAAACCTGCAGTTATCATCAGCTCCATTTCTATCGCTCTAATTGACTTTCATTATGTTAGAAGCCACTTAGAAAGCACGGATTTTTCTGATTTACTTGGGTTTGGGGATGGCAAAAGAGAGGAGGGAGATTTGCTCCAACCAAATTTCTAACATTTTTCTGCCCAAACTTTTGTGAGGTTGTGGTGCGGCCACCTGTTCCCAGTAAAATTGTAATGATAATAGTTCTGGTCTGGGAAAGATGACACATTTCTGTGATAAGAGGGAGGAAAGCAGGCCCCAGGGATTTGGGATAAAAACCCCCAAAATCAGTCTGTGGCAGAGGTATTTGTGTGTCCTGCTTGGCCCCATCAGCAGAGACACTGGGAAACAGGGGCAAAACACCGTGAAAGCAGCAATTCCCGTCTGCCTTAGCTGAGCACAGATAGAGGACTGTAGGTTTTGGTCCTGGAGGCTGCCCAGCTGGGTGTGGGCCTTAGAAGGTGGGCAATGGAGATTTTTTTTGGGGGTGTGTGTGCAAGGGGAAGTAAAGCAGCTCTGGGGAGGTGTGTGAGAATAGGAACTAGGCAGTGGGAGTTTATGGAGGGCTGAGCACCTGCCAATTTGTCACCCACATCCTTAAAAATCCCCACAGGGTTATTCCTCCTAGTACCATTTGCAGCGACCATGACTTTTAACCACTTTTCTTCTGCAAACTTTTCTGTTGGGCATGTTAGATGCATCTGCTACCACAGCTCAGGGCAGGAAGGGATCCTACACGCCATGCAGGTGGCATGAAGTTTTCTGCCTCCCAAAGCATCTCCACGGCGGCCCTGTTTGATATGGCTGACGTTTTCTCACTGTAGAAATGTTGCTTTACCAAATGTTTTGAGGAGCACTGAGCTTCCCAGAAAGATGACATTTGGCAGGAGGAAGGGAGCGTTATTGCCTGTAATAAAAGCCCATCGGAATGATCAAAGAGGTTGATGCAGCTCTGGCTTTGAAGCGTGTGCTTCAGCAGCAGCTGAACATTAGGGGTCCCCAGTGGACTTCCAAAAGCTTTGTAGGGAGAGGAAAAAAAAAAACAAAACAGACTGAAGCCTTCCTGAATCTCTCTACAATATAAATCCCAATACCCCACCCACCTACCAGGCAAGCTCTGTTGATACCAGGGGCGAAACAACAGCATTAATGCTCTGACGTAAAGTGAAGACAGCAGCCACCACGCTGTGCCTACAGAAACCCGGGGTTCTCAGCGAGGGCCTTTTCTTCCTGCCCAAAGTCAAGCTTCAGCGCTTTCTGCTCCGTTTTGTTCTTAATTGCAAGTGCTATAGCGGTGCGAAGGGTTCTTTTTGTCTTGCTGCTTCCCCCCCCCCCCCCCCCGCTCCAGCCCCCCTTAATTTGTTTCCCTCAGGAGACATTATCTTTCATTTGCTGAGCAAATTCAGTGCTCCTGTAATGGAGACTTAATGGCCGTGGGCAGGCACGGGGGAAGTTCTGCTGTGGCACTGCCACGCTGCACCAAACCTCCTCTGGCCAGCAAGGAGCTGGGCTTTTCCCACAGGAGAGGAGCTGGCGGCGGGATTAAGCAGTTTATTCGCACTTGTCGCATCCATCAGACGCCTCAAGTGCATGGGACGCCCTGGCTGTCCCCCCCTGATCCTGCGGAACGCCACGGGTTCTTCCCCGGCGCTGCGGCGGGAGCACGGCTCGATCTCCGGGTTGCGGCGGCGTGAAGGAGGGGCGGGTGCGAGGAGAGGCCGAGCTTTGGCCTCTGTGGCTGGGCAGGAGCTGGAGAGGCTCTTCCCAGCCCAGCTCAGCGCTGGTGGTACCGGGGATGGTGCCCCCTCTTTCCTTACCACTGCAGTGAGTAACCAGTGAGCGCACCAGGCCAGCTCCTTGCCAAACCCCAGATGTCACCTCTGCCCGAGGCTGTTTGGCGCCGGAGCGGGCAGGACATGGGAAGCGGTGGGCTTCCAATGGCGGGAAGGAGATGCAGACCCAAGCAGGTCTCACGCAAGTGCATCGCACAGGGATCCCCCAAGATGGGTGTTTTGTGGAGGGCACGGGGTCTGCAAAAGGCCTCTGCACCTTGGGAACCCTGCTTAAAGCTCCTGGGTATGGCGTTGGTGTGACTGTGGCCCCAGGGAGGGGAGAATATTTTAATTATAGCACAGACAACTTCAAGAAAGCCATTTTGTTATGTATCCCACTGCTGAATAGCAGTACTTTAAATTAAGGAGCTACCCAGAAACTGAAGGCACTGGTGGATTTGTCTTCCTGAGGCTAAAATGAGTGTTTTCATACAAGTGTCCAACAAGAGCCTGACAGCACTTTAAAGGGCTGTCATTTCAGTGTCCCTGTCGTGGTTTAACCCCAGATGGCAACTAAGCACCACACAGCTGCTCGCTCACTCCTCCCCTTTCCCCCCAGCTACTTGGTGAGACAGGGAGGAGAATTGGAAAAAAAAAAAAAAAAAGTAAAAC